AACTTTCCAGGTTAGGGAACAGTGCTCCCCTTCCACCCTACATAGTCATAACTACCCTTACTATGACCTCCATACGTATACATTTACACAATGCCAGAGGGCATGAAGGACAACACCCTAGTAAACTACACAGCACTGATGGTGAAGCACATGGAATTAACGACGATGCTTCAACTACATGCTAAACGTAAAATGCTCTTAACAAAACATTCCTACTATAGGCATGGAGGCAAAGGGGGAAGGCTACTAGCCCAATCCCTGAAACAAAATAGACAAACGACATTCATTTCTACCATAAAACAACTGAATGGCGCATTGACTAACCTAATGCCTGAAATCCTAGGTGCCTTTCACACTTTCTATACCCAACTTTATAACCTAAGACACACACCACCCTCCCTGACGGACATACATGACTACCTCCAAAAAGTGTTAGAACTCTTCCTTCAATGAATTAGGGATAACCTACATATATCTGGGGCTTCACAATAGGACCACAAGGTGTCAGCATTTGTGGATGACCTTCTATTCACAATATCAGACCCCATAAACACTATCCCACATATCCTAGAGGAAATGAGCACATATAGTGCAATGTCTAACTTCGAAGAAAATCTGTCTAAATGCAAATTACTCCCCCTGTACACGCACGGGGATCTAAGCACTCTACTCCGTCAACGCTTTCACTTCTCCTGGGTGACCACTTCTATTAAATATCTAGGGAGGCATCTGCCGACCGAGATGACACAACTATACAAATTAAATTTCATTCTCCTGCTTACAGCCATATCCAAAGATCTTAAATAATGGCCCAAACCGTGCTATGGCTGATTCAGCAGAATCAACATTATAAAGATGAATATACTACCTTGCAAACTTTATCCACTCCAAACTCTCCCAATAGCAATCCCTAAAAATTTCTTCACCTCCCTCAAAACTATTTTAAACTCATTCATCTGGTCCAATAATCATCCAAGACTGGCGTACTCCATCCTCAGCAACTGGAGAGAGAGGGGAGGGATTGGCCTACCATACCTAAATACATACCATAAAGCGGTACATCTAACTAGAATATACGAATCGACAAAGTCTCGACCAACCCAACAGTGTGTAGTTTTAGAGGAATCATACCTGACAATTCTCATCCCAACCCTTCCTTGGCACAAAACAGGTATGACAGTTGTAGAACACAAAAAACACCCAACGATAATACCCTAACTTCGAGTATGGGCACAGTTAACAGAAATAAGAATTTGTGTGTTTAAAAGGCGCTTTCAGTTAATAATTAAATAGAATGACAGCAGCTACCACACAAATAGGGACTCTCTACCCTATAGATTAGTATAAAAAAGATTAGGTGTACACTCAGTATTGGAAATTAATGATAAAAACCACCACTGGTGTGCATATGGAGCGCTTACAAATTTGATGACTCACCCATATGGGTTAACATACATATGTATGGAAAACGTGACGCATAGCGATATATCTGAAACAAATATAAATGCAAGAAATAGTGCAGATAACGTTTTCAATAAATGCAGTGAGGGAATATTCTATATGGTCTCACTCACATGTAGCAGAGCCCTATAGGATAGGCTCAGATCTCAATGGCCTGCGTGTGCTTATGGTGACACAGTACCCAATCGGTCCACTAGGCGTCTGGAGATCCTTATGCATACATGAGAGAGAGAGAGAAAACAAGGGGAAGAGGAGAACCCCTAGTGCGGTCAATCCCAATGTACAGTGTCAAATAGTGCAGAAAAAGTGGCTTCTCACCTGATGTGGAGCCCTATACCTGGCTCCTGGTGTGTAGGTGTCTGTGCCTTTAAGGGGGCAACTACCCTTCTTTAAGCAGCAACAATGGAGGGTGGATTCCAAATATAAAACAAAATGTATTAAATAAAGTAGTAAAAACTTACAAATAAAATATGAACAAAATTGTGAGAAATTATAAAATCTTCAATCCTCCAGCCGAAACATGTTTCACTGTACCCAGACAGCTTTTTCAATCGGTAATATAGTTGCTGCTGTTACTTGTTTAAATACTTTGTACTTCTTCCTGTGTGGTCCTTCAAACTTCCCTCCCTCCAATCCGCTGGCGTCCTTTTTCATGAACAGCTGTACTGTGTTAGTAATGAGAATGCTCCGGTTTCGGAACAAGTCACGTGACTCGAAGCATCACGTGCCGCATCACAAATTGGGCGTGTTTTCAATGTAGGGCTCACAGTTCCATATCGTCCATTTTGAAGTTGGGCAAAATGCCCTTCCTTCAACCAAGTCCGTTCCTATTTACAAACCAGATGCTCAATTTGAGCGATATATATAAACGAAAAAATGAAAAAATGAAGGGAGAAAGGGGGATAGTATTATTGTATATTGCTTACAAGGTAATTCATAAAATTTACATATCAAAAAATAAAAACATCTAGTGTTTTTCATTCAAAGTGACAGTACATGCATAAAGACAGGTGGTGAATAGGAGTATGCTCTTTTAGGAGAAATGCTGATTATTATTGAATAGGTCTCTATTGTGTCAGCAGCTTATGTTGAATGATGATGTCAATATTAAGATATATATATAAAAAAATATAAATAGTAGGTTCCTAGCTGGTCTCCCATACAAGTACTAACCAGGCCTGAGCCTGGATGGCTTCTGAGATCTGACAAGATCAGGCATTTTCAGACTGGTATGACCGTAGAGTAAATATTTAAAATGTATGAAACATACTAATAAAAAAATAATTTAAGTTAAAAAATGGCATAACTCAAAATCATAATTGAGACCATTAGGCTGCATGGTATTCAGGTTAAAAATCCATTGCATCTCCCTTTGGCCTAATTTTTTAATAAAATCTCCCCCTCTCCAATCGGGTAATACCCTCTGAATTGCATGGAATTCTAACAGAGTGGGATCGCTATTATGTTTATTTTTAAAATGTAAGGAGACACTGTGCTTTTCATAGTTGTTCCTAATATTCCCAATATGTTCCTGTACTCTAATGTGCAACTTTCTTTTGGTGCGCCCTACATATACAAGTCCACATGGGCATATCAAGAGATAAATAACTCTGGTGGACTGACAAGTAATTAGCTCGTTGATCTTAAACATGACTTTTTTATTTTGAGGATGTGAGAATTCTTTTACTAATCTTTTCTTACTTTTTGAGTTCTTGTACGCGCCACAGTATCCACAACCATAAAACCCCGTTTGTGCATTGAAAACCCACGAAAATCTTGCCATCCACAGCTATCTTGGTGTTCGCCGGAATCCCCATGCATGATTTAGTCCTTCTCCGAACAGCCGGCTGTTCGGTAGTTTCAGCACGAATCTACGTTGTCACGCAGGTCTCAGCGGTGTTCGCCTGTTTGCGTATCCGTTTTTAGTTCTACACGATTTAGGGCAAAACACCGCTGTTCGTGTGTAAGATGGCTGCGAACACGTGCAAAGTCATGAAATGGCGGCCACCTATACTTTACACAAAGGATTCGTGCTGAAACATGCGAACGGATGCGCCGGTCTGGGAGGTAAAATACCACTTAACTTCACTTCAGGGTGGTCCGGTGTTCAGTAGTTTGGACTCGTTTTTGGGCAATAGTAATTCGCATAAAACAGGCAAGTCGGTTCTTTTGTATATCCCGGTTAGGTATTGTTAAAAGAGTCCAGGCAGAAATTGTAGTTCTGTTACAATACCGAAACGATAAATGGGGTTATGGATAATGGAACACGGTAGGAACTATAACTATAATTGAAAATCATGATTTGGAGTTTGTGCCCCTTGGCTTCTGATCCATGCTTGATCGGTCATCAAGGTGTATAGGTTCTAAACTAACCATAACGTCTCTAAAATTCTTAATCCAACTTCATACTATAGCGATAACTTATCTAGAATTTACTTACTCATATGCATATAAGACTTAGGGGGATATACAAGTCTCAGATTAGAATATTCAGACAACTCAAGCTAAAATACAAGATAAACAGACGACAAATGCCACTTTGGGGTAAGATTTCATGTACTTTATTCTATAAGGATCCATAGCGTTACACTATCTAATATGCTATCATTGATGAGGTATTAATTACTATGTATATCTGTTATAAATCGTACAATTTATATACCGGATAGAAATGCTGTTATAATGTTTTGATTTGCACTGCTACTTCAAATTGTTTTATTATACTGCCATCTAATTATCTGTAACCTTGCTTACGATAAGTGAGACCATATTTCACTGATTTATTGACACGATTTGTACTATTTTGATAATTATATATTATAATGATCTGTTATAACTGGTTACAATACGAAAAACTCAATAAAAACGATAAATAATAAATAAAAATGCAAATATGAAAAAACAAACATACATGCAGAAGTGTAGATATTTTGGTTAGAGGTCCAGAGAATAATGCAAAAAAAACAAATTATCTTATGTTATTCTGACTGTTACTCTCCTATTGGTTACATTTTCTGCATCACTAAATATGACCCTTATGTGAAACATAGAATATTCCTCTTTCCACCGTCTTTTGTTTTGTGTATTTTTGAAGAAAAAAAAAATCTTAGTTTCACTTTTTTAAAAGAAATGCATTTAATCATTATATGAAACCATACTATATTAAAGCAACACAAATCATTTAAAGTTGTCATTTATATGCCATCAACATACCTGTCTCTATAACAATTTTGACAAATTGCTCAGACTCGCTATCTCATTAACCTTCACTATAATGATAGTTTTGACAACCACAGTCTTGCCCTTGTCTTGATGACTAATGTATAATCAAACTGCATTGTGCTAAGTTTAATATCCAGTATGTAAAATCTCCACTTTCGTTAACTTGAATAAAAGTAGTGGCAGTTAAATCTCATAAACAATTAATATGTATCATGAAATCTTTGGTCTCTTATAGTCTTAAAATTGCATGTTAAACATAACTTTATATTTTCAGCTTAAATATCAAAACTGGAAATATTGCTAAAAAATGTATAGTTCTGTCATCATTCTCCTGGGCACTTTTGGGTGCTTTGCCACATGCCGGGGGAGTACTTGGATGCTGAAACTGTATGCCATGTTCCTCTCTCTTATATTCCTCATTGAGTTGATTGCAGCCATTGTAGGACTGGTCTTCAGACATGAGATAAAGAACAGCTTTGAACATGGCTACCAGCAAGCTCTCCAACAGTACAACTCCACCGGTGATGCCAGAAGCCAGGCTGTGGATACCATTCAGAGGACTTTGCAGTGTTGTGGAGTTAAATCTTACATTAACTGGGGTGAAACGCCATACTACAAGGCGCATGGTATCCCCATGAGCTGTTGCTGCCTTCCAGGTAACTGCACAGAAGCCGACATGAAGGACATGGTAAAAGCCAAAGACAAAGTATTTCCACAGGGCTGCATAGCTTTGGTAACTACAGTGATGGAGTCCAGAATGGGCATTGTAGCTGGGATATCATTTGGAATAGCTTGTTTCCAGCTTGTTGGAATGTTTTTATCCTGCTGCTTGTCCCGATACATAACGAACAACCAGTATGAGATGGTGTAAACTCACCCTGATGCGGCAGGTATTCAGGAAATTGTTCATTTTATTTGAAGCATTGAAGACTCTGTCACTGGCGTATATCAACATCTTCCTGGGAAAACCTCCTGCTCAGTGCATAGTACTCTTTTTTACCTCACTACTCATTTGCTCTTTGTCTGTGGGTGCTCACTTCTGGAGCACTCTACTCTTAACATTGACAATATTTTAAAGATATCTGTACTTTAGCATAAGCGATTGCATTCCACAAACTGATCTGCGGATTGATACACTAATGCTTGTGGAAATATGGATATCTTGATAGCACATGCTCTACTTTATGAATTGAATTATGTTACTTCTATACTCGTCTAATAATCACACGCTTGTGAATTTTTCTTTTTTTCTTTTTTTTTTCTTTTACAGTTCGCATAAAGAACAATTTTGTTGGTTGGTACCATAGATCCAATATTGGGTTCTATCACTTACAGTATTGATCCAGACTAGACTCTTGCACATACATCTTATTTTTCCTTTTAGTTAGAAAAAAGGAACCTTCAAGGAAATGTTTATATGTGATAATCATGCATACATGTAATTTGTCTGTATATGAAGCAGCATTCATAGAAAATCCGACTGGCCTTTCCTGCCTGTAACTATTACAGGAATCAATTTACTGTTTTCCTTGTTGAAACGGAGCCGAAAATCAAATTATGGTCATCAGCAGAAATATGCAAAGGTTAGCTTAAACTGGTTGTGGTTCCCTGTCTGTTCTCAGGTGGAGACTGCTCTGGTAAATTTGAAAGAAAAAAATAAGCAAGTTTGCATACACTTTTCAGCATCTCTATGTGTGCATGCTTAGTAATTTTCCTCTAGAATGTTATGGGAAGAAAATTGACTGAGAGGACAAGCCTGAAAATGGGTTTTGCGTACAGATAGTTGCAGTACCAATTATAAGGTGTATGTATTTGTTTTTGTTTTTTTAATCCATGCATTCTTACAGAACAGTCAGCTCAACACCAAAACTAAAAAAAAAAAATCCACAAAAATCATTGCAATAAGGAAACACTTCATGCTACTCCTACTTTGGCTATACAATCTTGCAAAACAAAAACCTCTCAATTTTTCTGCCTTTACCTCTTCAGGACTAGGTAGCTCATAACATCTTTATTTTTCTCTTTTTATAGTTAGTAGAGTTGCTGGGGTTTCTCCCAGAGATCTGCAGTATGTAGGCCAACCTGGAGCAGTAAAGCATTTGATTATGTACGAGATTAACGCCCTGTTGCTGGGGCATTTAGTGTGTGTGTGTTTCCTCCAGATGGAGTGTTAACAAAACCTTAACTCTAATTCTCTGAAAAAGTAAATTTACAGACGTAAGAAATTGTTTTGGAATGCATATTAAGTTCCCCTGCTGCTTTAGATGTATTGTAATTTGGTGCCTGGACACTCTCTTCGCCAATGTTTTCTGTCTTAATCCAAGAGTTCACATCAGTTAGATTACATAGGGTGTTTAAAAATATTAAAAGCTTGAGAGGAGTTGTAGTTAGTTGTGGTACAAAAGGTTTTTAGAATTAGTGGTTATGGTTCAAGTGGTATTAAATTTAAAATTGGGATATACCGTTTTTAAGAGGAGTAAAACCTAGGATTAAGGTGAAAGGTTTTGTTTCAGATTTAGGCATAGCATGCTTAAAGGGACACTATACGCACCCAGAACTTTTCATCTCATTGAAGTGATCTGGGTACACTGTCCCTGTCCCCACCCCCTTAGCTCTGCAGCTGTTAACATTGCCATTTCAGAGAAACAGTAATGTTTTCCTTGTAAGGCTAAGACTGCAATTCGTGTCATATGCCTTGTGTGAGGACGTCCAGTGTCCTCTAAATCCTCAGAGTAAATAATTTGGTCTATGCTTTCCTAGGAGGAAAGCCTAATGCTCGTTTGGTCTTTGCTGCACATGTGCATTAGGTTTCCCCTATTGTCTGACGTCTGCAGAGGAGGAGCCCAATCCAGCGCCAAGGGACAGACATTGGTGCTGGAACCAGGTAAGGGAAAAAAGGGTTGTATAACCCTTTACTTGCCACTGGGTGAGAGTTGCAAGGGAGGGAGCAGATTCTAAATCTAAAGTTTTCCTTTAGATTTTGCAGTAAAGAAAGGGTTTCTTTTAGGGTTTTATGTTTTAGTTTTTTTGGGTGGGGGGGTGGGTGGAGGGTACATTTAGGGATGAGAGAATAGGTTATACATGTTGTACTTTGCCAAGTACCCACCCTCGTATGGTTAATAACAGAGCTGTGGGAACTGTTGTACAGTTTGCATCACTCAGTGCTGTCTGTGCTCCTAATGCAAGGCATTTCCTGTGTGAGAAGTTCTTAGATGTCAGATCATGGGAAGTGATCACTTGCTGTGCAGCTCACACACACACTGGAGTAGCTGGGACAGCACTGAGTTTACACCTTCTATAGCTGTTCCTGCGGCTCTATCAAGCATGGGAGGAGAACTAGACTACAGAGGACTCCTGATACCCTCTCCTCACCAGCCTACTTAAGCTCCAAAAAGGTACTTTATAGGTGCTATAAATAGGTAACCCCCTACAGGATATGCACCTACAGGACCCGTGTAAGTGTCAAACAGTTGGTTGATCAAATTGGTTTTGAGACTCCTGGCACCATAGTGACTACAGCAAGCTGTACTTAGACTACCCCTTCAATCAAATAGAACATGTTAAAGATGGTATTCCATTTAATGCAGGAATAAATTATTTGCCTTTTCCAAAGTTGCCTTATATCGTCAGGACCTCTGTGCATCCCTAACCATTTACTTACAATGGCTATTATCGTATTTGAACTAGTAAGCTATACATAGTATTTCATAGGAATGAAACATTTGGTCCGCCGTCCTCACAATCTCTATATGTAGCTCAAAGATTTAATTTTTTTTGGACATTTTTAATTATCAAAGTGGTTCATTGCTTTTTCACACTGTAATTACAGGAAGTGCTGTCTTGCGAAGGCCAGGATATTGATATTCCTTTTTTTTTGCTATTTTTAACTGATGTTACTGGCTGGTGAGATTTCAGCCTGCAACTGAGCCTTTGACCTATTTATATGGTAAATTATTTAACTGACTTTATCCTGATAGCTTTCCTTACCTACATTATGCAGTGAATTTGTATTGGCTTACATTTTAGGGAAATGTGTTTCTAAACAGCCAGTGTTGGGCACTGCCAATGCTGTTTAAAATATGTTTGTGTTTGTCATCATGTCTTTTACAATCTACAAAGGGAATAGATTTAGTTAGACAGGTCAGAATCATACTGAGCTTAGCATGCCCATTTGTTTTATCAGAATTAAATGCTGCATTTGTTGTGAGACTTTCATAATGTATCTTGTATAACAATGGAAACCTTTTTACTTGACTTTATATACGATAAATGTGTGATTTCTTAAAAAAAAAAAATGTATAGTTCTCCAGTTTGCCTGTTTTGCCTATAATTAACCCTTTTATGTAATATATGTTTGTATATATGTAGTATTATAGCAAACACATGGAATATACTCAATGTGTTTGTTTCTCCAAAGAAATGTTAGTTTAATAATTATTTCAGATATTTCAAATGGTATGTCTTAGGTCACTTTGGAGCAAAGCGTTTACCTTTTGCTGTGTATATTAAATACATAGATTACATTATTGTACATATCTACAGTGCAAGGCTGCCTTGATGAAAGGCATGACAGTACAAGAATGTGAAAGAGATTATTTTTCTTTCATGTTAAAATAATATTACCTTTTGACACCACAAATGTTACATGTATGTAACATTAAATGATGATTACCTTAAAGGAAAACAAACATATATTCATGACCCTATAGTAAAAAACACCATCTAGCCCTACCTGCCCCACCTCCTGTTGTCCCTACTTGCCTCCCTAAATATAGGAAAATATTACTTGTATTCAAGTCTGCTGTGGCTGGCTCTGCATCTGACCTGCCTGCATGTCTGACATCATCAGAAGTTATTATGTGAGCCAATCAAAATGCTTTCACATAGGATTGGCTGAGACTATCAAGGAGGCAATTTGGGACAGAGCCAGCACAAGCCAAACACAGCACTTGCCAATGAGAATCTCCTCATAGAGATGCATTGAATCAATGCATCTCTATAAGGAAAGTTCAGTGTTTGCATGCAGAGGGTGGAGACACTGAATGGCAGTACTGCACAGTGTGCAGCACTGCCCCAGGATGAACATCTAGTAGCCATCTGAGGAGTGGTCAGTTGAGTTATCCCTAGGCTGTAATGTAAACACTGCATTCTCTCTGAAAAGACAGTGTTTACTGCAAAAAAAAAACCTGAAGGCAATGATTCTACTCACCAGAACAAATACAATAAGCTGCAGTTGTTCTGGTGACCATAGTATCCCTTTAAATAAACAGGCATCACTAGTCCTTTTTTTTTAAACCAGCAAGCAAACACTTTTACACACATATATAAACTAAAATAAAGCAAGAAAAGTTTGAAAAATATGTGATAAATATCAGTCAGGGAAACAATTACGGCAAACTGATTCTCTGCATCTCTGCATACAAAAAAGAAAGGAAAAAAAGAGATTGTCTGTGTATATTTGTGTATATATATATTTATTCACACATATATAACACATAGGTAGAAAGGGAATTCTAGCTGCCTAGAAGGAGATAGTGAGTAAGTCAACTAAGTATTGCTCTAAAAACAGGTTATAAGGTTACCATATAAAACCTCAGAGGAAAATACAGAAAAGAAAACCAGTGAAAAAATAATCATGCGACTGATAATAAATGAAAGACAAATAAAAATTGCAACTGAAACAGGTACAGTTAAAATCACAAATATGCAGGTACTCAACTAGGCATGGTAAGAATCAATACACAGTGAAGCCCACTCCATAAGTATAAAATCAAGTTCAGTTAATCCAGTCCAGTGTAATCAGAAATATGAGTATTAGGGTGTAAAATTCTAATCAACAGTAGCAGACTGTGCTTAGTGATACAAAATAAAGACAAATTGTAGCAAAAATCTAAACACAACTTGATGGATATTCTAGTTAGTACTTCGCAGAGGAAATGTATAGAAAGGGTACACAAATGCTGAGGAAGAAGATATTCACTTTATACCATTAAATAGTTAGTGGAAAGCAACAGTAAGTAAAATTTTGTATTACACATATTTCACCAAGGTGTAAATCACCTCTAAGGGAGCCCAGTCCCTACAATGATGCCATTTAAACTTCTCTTTCCTCTGTGCCAACTAGATGTAAAAGGAGGATGAAACATTTGCAGAATCCTGTATTCTTGGTACAGTTGCATCTCCATATGAATACCGGCGGTATGAACATTCCATCTATCGTTTAGCTGTCAGTCATTCAAGCTTCCATTGTCTTTATATAGTCTTTATATAGAGGTTCAGATACTATGTAATACTGTGTGCCTGGTGTAATTTCTCAGGCTCCTACCGCCAAAGTATATTTGTATGTGTATTAATTTTTCTTTTGCTTCTGCTCCCCAGTGTAGCAGATTCAGTACCCACAGAGAGAACATGAATAAAAAAGCAAATTGTGATTGTGATTTTTGCTACAATTTATCCTTATTTTGTAGTACTAAGCACAGTCTGCTACAGTATATCAGCATTTTATAACCTTATACCCATATTTCTGATTTCACTGGAAAAGGACTTAAGTAATTACACTTTATTTTATATTTATGGAGTGGACATCAATGTTTTATGATTCTAACCATTCATAGCTTAGTACCTGAATATGTTCGAGTTCTTGCATTTGATTTTCTGTTTCTCTCATTTATTATTAGCGCTGATTTGTTTTTCTGTTTTATACACACACCTTTACACACATATAAGCAAACCTTTATACATATATACACAGATTTTAAGCTGAATAAGGACTGAATGTATCAATAAATAATAATAGAGAAATAATCACATCTAGACCAACAAAATCATATAACACAACTCACTGTTCAGTGGAACCGTTTTGCTCATACACACTGGACTGGAGCACTTCTGAAATCAGCAGGAACATCTGAAACAATTCTCATATGTATCAGCTCAACAGTATTAAGACAAGCAATTAGGCAAAAAGAAGTCCAAGGTAGAAACGATAATTTATTTGCAAATGTTAATCCAACATGAAACGAAGACTAGTCTGGGGTCACAGTTGGATAAATATATGCTTAAGGAAACAAGATTGTGGTAGAGGATTTAAACATTTGAAATATATTCCCTACATTCCCTACATTTGAAATATAAGTTCCCTACATCACATGATATTACTCAGCAGCTTATTGAAGAGTGGCGTAAGGAATTAACAGAATTGTCTTTATAGAATCAGGAATACAAATCCCCCCTTACCGCCCTTAATGCTAGTTAAGCTTATTATCAGTGCTGGGCGGGTCTGCCAGCACTGGCTCTGATCCGCCACCTTGTCTAAAATCATCAGAATGAATGATCTCAGCCAATCACAGTGCTTTCCCATAGGAAAGCATTGGATTAGCTGAGTTCATCAATTCTGATGAGCCAAACATCTCTCTAGCCAATCAGCATCTCCTCATAGAGAGGCATTGAATCAAACTGACCCAGGAAGAACCTCCAGTGGCCATCTGAGGAGTGGCCACTGGAGGTGCCCCTAGACTGTAATGTCTCTGAAAAGACTGTGTTTACAGCAAAAAGCCTGCAGGGACTGACTGTATTAACCAGGACAACTATATTAAGCTATAGCTGTAGTTTCTCTGGTAACTATAGTGTCCCTTTAAGGCTAATGGACATTATATTAAAGGGCTATAAGATATCATAAATGTTATAAATAACTTTTTAATTGTCAAACAGAATTAAAAAAAAGACAAGTTACTTTTAAGATTGTAATGGACCGTTTTGCCCACAAGAGGTTAAAAATCGTTTAGGCGATATTCCCCCTTTTCAGCTGCACAGACAGCTACTGCAAGCACCAATCTCCCGAACTGCAAACCCACGAATTCACCAACTCCTGAACTGCAGCCAAGGGAATACTCGAAACTCCCGAACTGCATACACACGAATAGCTGCTAGCAGACGAACAGGAAAAGCCCCCAAGCGGCTTACACTCCTGGCAATCAGTCTCTAACAGCATACAGTAAATCCTCCCCGCAATAATGAGATGACACTTCACTTTGAGGGTTAAGCAGGAACTGCACTGTAATGGCCACACACTGGCTTTTATGCAAGTCCCCATGCAAGGGGACATCCCACAGGGTGGGACACAGTACAACCAATCGTTTACAGGAGAACCATTAAACACACCCACAATTACATCACAATCCCTCCTCTCTGTCCTAGAGATAATTGTGAAGTAGTCCAATTATTTCCCAGGACAGAGGCAAGACTCCATTAACCACATGGCAGTAACAATACAATAAAAGACATAAAATTACCTACAGTTACATTTATTCCATAAAACATAGACATTCTACATATCCCCAGATAGCTTAGATCTGAGTGCACATTACTACCGAATGGCGCTCAGATCACATACATACAGTTCAATCGCCATGCAGCCAAAGTCTTTCATACAGTCTTTCAGTATACGGCTGGGCTCCATGGCATAGCTATCTGGGTTAGCATCGCTTTAACAGTCCGCAGAAAGGCACGAATAAAACTTTCTGCCGGTAAAATAAAAGTTTAAAATGCAGGACCATAGTCTAAAGGGAGCAGGCAAGCAACCAGGCTTCTCCAGTGTACAGTGGCGAGGTTGGTTTCGCCACAAAGATGTTTCCTTCTTTCTCCTGGAGCAGTAGGTGTTCCAAGAATAATAATAAATTAACTTTGCAAAGGCCAGCAACTTAGAGAACAGTCCAAAACATGAAGGGTTAATCAAATAAGAATATTATCTAAATCCAATCCATAGTCAGCAACAAAATAATCATCCCAAAGTGTAAAGGATTAATCCAATTCGAATAGAAACATAGAAACATAGAATGTGACAGCAGATAAGAACCATTCGGCCCATCTAGTCTGCCCAATTTTCTAAATACTTTCATTAGTCCCTAGCTTTATCTTATAGTTAGGATAGCCTTATGCCTATCCCACGCATGCTTAAA